TGTGGTCCGGTACCCCTAATGAAATATCCTGAAGAGTAATTTTTCCATTGACACCAAACCTCTATATTGTAAAAAAATGTGTCGAACAGGGTGCAAATCGGAGGCACTTAAAATATGAATTGACATGGCAATATTCATTTTTTTTGATATATTTTTCTAAAATGTTAGTATTTATTGAATATGTATTGCATCTACACATTTGTTATGGTCTAGGACCCTCAGTGAAATTCTCTATATAATATTTTTTTCATTGATACCAACCTTATAAATCGATTTTTTATGGCTCAAATGGTTACCGTTTTGGATATACCTGAAATGAAAGATAAAAATAGGAATTAGTTTATTTCGGTTTTACAACCTATTCTCATAGATATATTCTTGATTTATGTTGTATCTTCGGATTTCTGATAGTCAGAAACCGTAAACCAAATTTCTTGAAGAATATTTTCTACATTGACACCAATCCTCTATAGTCAAGTATTATGGGTCAAATGGGTGGCACTTAAAAAAATAACGATTGAAACGACAATAAAATAATTTTTTAGATAAATACCTAAAATGTTCGATTTTTTTTTTCATGCTATATAGCACACCTACAGATTTCTTTTGGTAGGTGACACCTAGTGATATTTGGTGCAGAATATTTTTGTCATTGACATGAATCAGCTAAACTGACGTATAATGGGTCAAATGGGCCTCAATTCAAAAATGCTTCATAAAAAAATAAACATAACCAACAATTATTTTTTATTTTTTGCTAAATTACCAGATAGTTTTTTACGATTTATATCAAGTATACAATTTTTCTTTAGTCAGTGACCCCTTGTAAAATTTACTATAGAACATTTTCTTCATTGACGTTAACCTGCTCAAATGAAGTTAAATGGGTCAAATAGGTCCCATATCGAAGGAGCTTGAAATTATGGATAAAAAAGAGAAAATCTATTTTTCTGCTGTGCATCCAAAATATCCGATGTTTTTCCATGATATCTATTACATGTACAGATTTCTTTTGGTCGGGGACCCATAGTAAAATTTACTGTAGAATACTTCATTCATTGACTTTACCTCGCTAAAGTGAAGGATATTGGGCCAAATAAGCCTCGACTTGAATACACTTCAAATTGATGATTGTAATGGCAATAAATTTTTGTGTTACTATATACCCAAAAAGGTTAGCGATTTTTTCTACATATATATTAGATATATGAATTTCTTTTGCTCAGTGACCTCCAGTGGAATTTGGCGTACAAGATTTTCTTCATTGCCATGAAGCCGCTAAACTGAAGTATAATGGGTTAAAAGGCCTTATTTAAGATATAATTGAAATTTAAGATAAAAATAACGAGGAATCTTTTTCCATATTCTATGGCTATATTGTTAAAGATTTTTTCCCGATATATACTACAAATACAGATTTCCTTTGGTCTGTGACCCCCAGTGGAATATTCTGTTGAATATTTTTTCATTGGCATCAAGTCACTAAAATGAAGTTTAATGGTTGAAATAGGCTCCATATAAGAAGTGATTGAAATTTGTGATAAAAAAGGTAATACATTATTTTTTGAATTATATATTAAAAATATCAGTTATTTTCTTTTAATATATATTGCATCTACAGATTCTTTTTGGTGGAGGACCCCTAATGGAATTCGGTCCACAATATTTCTTCTATTGACATCGTACTCCTAAAATGAAGTATTGTGGGCCCAATAAGCCCCGATTCGGAGATACTTCAAATTTATTATTAAAACATTAAAATAAACTATATATTTACTATTCCATATTCGATTATCCCTTAGTTTTTCATGATATAACCCATAGTAAAATTTAATATAGAATATTTTTTCTCTTAGCATAACCACTGTCAAATGAAGATTTATGGGTCAATTGGGCCAGATTTTAGAAATGCTTCAAAGCAAAGACAAAAAAGTTTATTTTTTCTATTTTATACATTTTTTTTTTGATATACATGACAACCACAAATTTCTTTTGGTCGATGACCCCTAGCGGAATTTGGTGCAGAACATTTCCTCTATTGACATCATACTCCTAAAATGAAGTATTGTGGGCTAAATAAGCACCTATACGGAAGCACTTCAAATTTTGGGATTAAAAAAATAAAAAACATTTTTTCCTATTATATATTCAATTATCCAATATGTTCTTATGAAATATAACACATTTACAGGTTTATTTTTGACGAGAACCCCTAGTGAAATTTAGTACAGAATATTTTTTCTGTTACCATCACCTCTCCAAAATGAAGTTTTGTGCGTAAAATAGGCCCCATATCGGAGTTACTAGAATTAAAGATTTGTAACAGCAATAAATTATATTTACAATTTATATCTACCCATTTATTTTTGCTGAGGACCCCGGGTGAAATTTTATGTAGAATATTTCGTCCTTTAACATAACCCCTCCGAAATGTAGTTTTATGGATCAAAAGGCTTCGATTTGTAGACACTAGAAATTAATGATTTCAGTGAGTAACTATTAAAGTAAATTATATTGTCCATTAGTTTTTCGCGATATATATTACATCCAAGCATTTCTTTTGAGTGGGGACCCCTAATGAAATTTTGTGCAGAATATTTCTCTCTTTAATACAATCACTCCAAAATTAAATTTTAGGGGTCAAATGAGCCCCGATTTAAGAACACTTTAAATTTAGGATTAAAAAAGACAAGAAATTATATTTATATTATATATTTAATTACCGTTAGTTTTTCATAGTATATACTATATCTACACATTTCTTCTAGGTGAAGACCCCAATTTTAATTTTGTGCAGAAAAATTCTTCCTTTAACGTAATCTCTCTAAAATAAAGTTTTATGGGCCAAATGGGTGCCAATTCGGAGATACTACAAATTAAGGAGTAATTTATTGCCATAAATTATTTTTATATTACATTTTCAGACACCCGTTACTTTTTCAAGTTATATGTTATATGTACAGACTTTTTCTGATCGAGGACCCCGGATGAAATTTAGTGTAGAATATTTCTTTCTCTAACGAAACTCCTCTAAAATTAAGTTTTATGGGTCCAATATGTCCCCATTAGGAGATACTAGAAATTAAGGAGTCATTTATTGCCATAAATTGTTTTTGTATTATATATTCAGATATCAGATAGTTTTTTTCAGGATATATATAAAATTTACAGACTTCTTCTGGCCGAGGACCCCGGATGAAATTTAGTGTAGAATATTTCTTCCTTTAACGAAACTCCTCTAAAAGTAAGTTTTATGGGTCAAATATGTCCCAATTCGGAGATACTAGAAATTAAGGTGTCATTTATTGCCATAAATTATTTTTACATTATGTATTCAGATATCCGATAGTTTTACGAGACATATATAATATGTACAGACTTCTTCTGGTCAAGGACCCCGAATGAAATTTAGTGTAGAATATTTCTCCCTTTAAAAAAACCTCTCCAAAATAAAGTTTTATGGGTCAAATAAGCCCAATTTCGGAGATACTAGAAATTAGGGAGTCATTTATAGCCATAAATTATTTTTATATTATATATTCAGATATCCGATAGTTTTTCAAGATAAATGTTATATGTACAGACTTCTTCTGCCCGAGGACCCTGAATGAAATTTATTGAAGAATATTTCTTTCTTTAACGAAATCCTTCTAAAAGTAAGTTTTATGGGTCATAGGTCCCATTTCGGAAATACTAGAAATTAAGGAGTCATTTATTGCCATAAATTATTTTAATATTATATATTCAGATATCCGATAGTTTTTCAAGATATATGCTGTATGTACAGACTTCTTCTGGCCGAGAACCCTTGGTAAAATTTAGTGTAGAATATTTCTTCCTTTAACGAAACCCCTCTAAAATTAAGTTTTATGGGTCAAATATGTCCCAATTCGAAGATACTAGAAATTAAAGAGTCATTTATTGTCATAAATTATTTTTATATTATATATTCAGAAATCCGATAGTTTTTCAAGATATACATAATATATACAGACTTCTTTTGGTCAAGGACTCCGGATGAAATTTTGTGTAGAAAATTTCTTCCCTTAACGTAATCCCTCCAAAACCAAGTTCTATGGGTCAAATAGGTCCCGATTCGAAGATACTAGAAATTAAGGCGTCATTTATTGCCATAAATTATTTTTACATTATATATTCAGATATCCGATAGTTTTTCACGATATATATGCTACATATACAGACTTCTTCTGGCCGAGGACCCTGGATGAAATTTAGTGTAGAATATTTCTTCCTTTAACGTAATCCCTCCAAAATGAAGTTTTATGGGTCAAATAAGCCCCTATTCGGAAATACTAGAAATTAAGGAGTCACTTATTGCCCTAATTTATTTTTATATTAAATGTTCAGATATCCTATAGCTTTTCAAGATATATGCTGTATGTACAGACTTCTTCTGGCCGAGGACCCCGGATGAAATTTAGTGTAGAATATTTCTTTCTTTAACGAAACCCATCTAAAAGTAAGTTTTATAGGTCAAATAGGTCCCAATTCGGAGATACTAGAATTTAAGGAGTCATTTATTGCCATAAATTATTTTTGTATTATATATTTCGATATCTGATAGTTTTTCAAGATATATGTTATATGTACAGACTTCTTCTGGGTGAAGACCCCGGATAAAATCTAGTGTAGAATATTTCTTCCTTTAACGAAACCCCTCTAAAATTAATTTTTATGGGCCAAATGGCTCCGTTGCGGGTATACATAAAGTAAAGAATAGCAGTTTTTGTTTAATTGATTTTTTATTTAAAAAATTATTCTCGAGAATTAATATTTTTATCAGAATTTTCTATGTTTTTATGAAATTTAAATGCCTTAGAAGAATCTCTGGCCATTTCGTTCCACCTCATGGTTCTCACTTATGGGACTTTGGTAATTAATTGCCCTTAAACAGAAACTTATTGGAAAATGAATAAATCACAATAGAGGTTTTGTGGTCGTGCGGCCGAATGCAATGTTACTCAGTAGCCAAGAGTAACATGAAGCCATTACTACTTTACACGCTGTTGTTGTCGTTGTTATTTTCGGACGCCCTCGCAGAACCCTTGCCCCAAGTTTTGGAGAAATTTTGCAAAAATTTCGATATTTATACTTTGCTTGTGTTTGGAGGCAATGGCAGCTTTGATTATTGGGATAACTCCCCGAATTCGATATCACTGCCCAGGGTAGTGGTAGGCCATGCTGTTGCCAAGGATCTGAGAGAATCACAGGGCGAGAGAGTCATGAGTTTTGTGAATTTGGATACAAATTCCGTTGACTATTTGGAGGAGATTTTGAAACCTTCTTTGCTGTTTCTGCATTTGAGAGACGTACTGTTTTATACCAACACAACCTGGGTGAGGGGAGAGGAGTGGCTGTGGTTGTTTGAATGGCTATGGGATCAGGGATTTTGGAGGGTATTGCTGATGAATGAAGCAGATCAGTATTTGGGTATGGAATGTCTACCAAAGATGCAAATGAGAGTCCTAACCTTGGAGGGTTATTTTGCAATGAGAGAGCGGAGATATTTGGATCTCCAGGGATTTACAATCAAGACGGCAGTGGGTAACAACCCGCCTCGCGTCATTGCCTACTTCGATGAGGAGGGTAGATTGCAGGTGAGCGGATTCTATGGCAATACCTTGAAAATATTTGCCGAGATTTACAATGCCTCGCTGGAATATGTGGTTATGCCGAACATGTCGCATTATTCGGTATTGGATTGCATCCAATCGGTAAGGGATCACGAGGTGGATGTGTGCATGGATGTCATATTGTGGGGTACGGGGATTGAGACCACGCGACCCTTTTACATTGTCATTAGCCATTTGATGGTGCCCTATGACACGCCTCTGGAGAAATATGAATATTTTCGCATGTCCTTTGGCCGCGAGGTATGGATTTTGATTTTCTTCACCTTTTGCTGCACCGTGGTGCTTCTGATTGTCGTGGAATACAAGGAGTATCGACGTTTGAGTTTAATCAACAATATCTTTACCACCTTTCAAAGTTTCATCTGTGCCTCGTTTAGCCTGCAGCATTTCTCGCAGAATTATCGCTACGGCCTGGAGGCCATCCTCATCTTTAGTGGTTTCATGATTTCCAATTATTATCTCTCCATACTCTCCTCCATTTTGCTGACGAAGATCTATAAACGTGAAATCAATTCTGTGGCAGATGTCGTGTCGCACAATCTGAGCATTCTGACCACAGATTTCCAGCAATGGATCCTGGAAGTAACCAAGGCTTCGCCTTTGATTCGACAACAAACGGTGGTGGTATCGGAGGAATTTGCCGTTCGCAATCAACGTCTACTCAATCCGGACTATATTTATTTTGGTTTGGATGAGAAATTGGATTTTTTCCTTTATCAGCAGAAATTTTTAACCCGACCCCGTCTCAAGAAGTTGGGCGATGAGGCCGTGACCACAGATATTGGGGAGATACCCATGCGTTCCTATTGGCCATTCCAGGATGTCTTGGAAAGCTATTGTGATAACCTCTTCAGTGGTGGGGTCTATGCCTATATCGACGAGGAAACCTATCAGGATGGTATACGTCTCAAGCAGATCGCCTTTATACCCAATGAGGATTTATCCGTGGAACCATTGTCGCTGGAATATTTTGTGCTGTGTGGCCTGATATTGGCCGCAGGATATTTATTGGGTTTGTTGTGTTTTGTAATTGAGATTTTTGTTTACAAGAAAATTGGCAGGAAATAAAGAGAAAAATATTTATGAAATAAAAAAAATTGTTGAATTGAGAATTTTTTCTTAAAGAGAATATACTGTCAGAGGGATTCCATAAAAAACTCCATAAACTTCGCTGAATTTTGTTTTTCTAAAAAAAAAATAAATTTTTAATTTTTTTGCTTTTTTAACAAAAACTCCAACAAATAATTTTGTCCACTGTTAATGAAGCTGCGACCTCTATTTAATTTGTATCTTATATTAAGAAGCTGTTAGGATTTTCCTATGAATCAGGTCTTCCCTAAATATATTCCTTCTACGAAAGCTCTGTTTTCTTTTAATTTTTTGAAGATCTGTTAATATTTTTTTAGACCTCTGCTAACGTCTTTCAAGCTATCCAAAGGCTGCATAAAATTTCTCTGATGTTGGTATGGGCTCTGTTAATATCTACTAAGTTCTCTGCCAAGGGTTTAGAATGTAAGGCCTCTGTTCGAATATTTTGAACTCTAGAGAGCTGCAGATAGGGAATTTTTATGCTATGTTAAGATTATGCTACGTTTATCTTGGCCTCTGTTTGTATTTTCAGAAATATGGCACGGAAGACCTCGGCGAATATTTACAGAACACTGTAAACCTCTTGATAATCTGTCAACATTTCTGTAAGAGATCGGTTAAGATTTTTTAAGAAGCCGTTATGTTAGACCTCTGTTAACTTATTTCAAGCTTTGTAAAAACTGTATAGAGCTACTTTATTTTTGGTAAGACCTCTGTTAACTCTATTTAAATCCTCTATTATCGTTTTAAACAGTATGATAGGTCTCTATTAAAATTTATAATGACCTAAAATTCTCCATAAACTTTGCGGAATAAAACTAACAAATAATTTTTCTCACTGTTAATTAATCTAGGTTATCTGTTAAATTGTTATCTTATGTTAACACTCTGTTATGATTTTTCAAATGTAATTAGGTGCTCTCTCTCTCTCAACATATTTCGCTTAAGAAGACGTCGTTTTCTTTTAATTTTTAGAAGATTTGTGAAAATTATGTTAGACCTCTTCTAATTTATTGCATGCTGGTATGGGATCTGTTAATACCTGTTAATTTCTCTGCCAAAGTTTTAGACAGAATTTAAAGTCTCATTTCTAACTAGACTACTTTGGATAGAGAATTTTTATGCTACGTTAGGTCTATGTTATGTTTTTCCAAAAATGTGGAAATAAATAATATTTAAAGAATTCTGTAAACCTCTTGTTAAATTATGTATGGCCTCTGTTAAAAGTTGTTAGAATATGTTAAGGCTCTGTTAGGTATTTTTAATGTGATTAGGACCTCTTTTAAAATAATCTGTTGTTTAAGAAGCATTCTGTTACCGTTATGTTAAACCTCTGTTAACTTGTTACAAGCTGTATAAAGGCTGCATAAAATTACTCTACTTTTGGTAAGACCTCTGTTAAATTTCTCTGTATATTTTTTTAACAGGCGTGTAGGGTCTCTGTAAGAATTTTTAATGTTTTCGCCATATACTTCTGTGTTAAGTCATTTTGTAGGTCTCTTTTGACATTTCTAAAAATACATAAGCCCTCTATTAATAAAAATAAATTTGGGTCTATGCTATGATATTTCTAAAAATATGCCCTCTGTTAATAAAAAGTACGCCTCTGTTGTATGTAAGATCTCTGTTATTATTTTCGAAAATATTATCATGAGGTTAAGTCCTAGTTTAACTAGAAAAAAGTTCTCTTTAATTAAAATTTAATGTTTGCAAGGCCCGTGTTAAAATTTTTTAGCATCTGTAAAACCTCTGTTAGGATTTTTATACCGAAATTAGACTTTCAATAAATGTATTCTGTTATTTAAAGGTATTTTTCAAATGTTAATACTTTGTTTACGTTACCTTGGAAACCTGCGTGAAATTCTGTTATTGTCATGGCCTCATATAATAGTTTCCGGATTCCTTTTAAAGTTAAGGAACTTTACGCTTCTGTATATATGGAATATGTTTTCGAACACATTATGTTAAATGAAAGTCCCATGTTAACCAGAAAAACAACTCTATATGTAAGACCTCTGTTAACTTATTCAAAGCCTGCAATAAATTATTCCAATTTGAGAGCCTCTGTTAAAATATTTTACAGCTTCAATGTTACGGCCCGTGTTAATGTATTTGATGTTATTTTATGTCCTTTTTTCCGAAATAATTAGCGCAACATAATGCTAAGTAATGTTAGACCTCTGTTAACTATTTCTATGGTATATCAAATCAAATCTCTCTGATATTTGCCATGAAATTGTGACAGTTGAAAGGAATATGTTGAAGATAAAAAACTCCTTTAATATAATTTGTAGGTAGGCTTAGGGTATTCGCTTCCTGTTCTATAAAAATCCTCTGTAAAGGATCATTTACGTCTGTTAAGCTCATTAAAATCACTTTGGACTTTGTTCGGACTTGTGAGATATTTGTAAGACATTGTAAGTTATTTTAAAGAAATCTTTGGTACTGAAGATTCATGGAAAGGTATTACGTATTCCGTAAGGCCTCTGTTAATGTATTTTTGGGTAAAGAATCGGTCAATATATAAAAATATATTTTTGTTAAATACGCTCTTTGAAAAATTGTGTAATCGAATGAGACTCACCGTAACAGCTTCAATTGCTGCACCACAAAATGCCCCTTAGTACTGTAGGTTAATAACAAGGTTTTACACAGTCTATTAGTTCTCTGTTAAGGTATTTTGGGTATGTAAAGGCAACGTTACGTAAGACTATTTTCCGTAAAATGCCTTCGGCATTGGTGAATAGGTTTTCTATGCCACAAAAAGTCTCTGTTAGGCATATTTAAGGCCTGTTAAGTCAATTAAAACCAATGTAAGTTCTGTTAAAGCTCCCAAGATTCCTGTTAGACCTTCTAAGGCCATGCTAAAACAGTTTAAAACATTATTGGTTCTTTTGAATATATATTTTGTGTTGGAGACGCATAAAAGAGTCTTCTCACAGCATGTTATACCCTTGTTAACGAGTTTTTGGCTATGTTAGCGCTCCGCAGAAATTTATAAATATATTTTCCCAACATAGATCCTCTGTACGAATATTTTGTCCCACTGATTATCTCTGTATGAACTTCAGGCGCCGTAAAATGCCTTCCTCATTGAAGTATTGGCTTTCTGTGACTCTGTTGGGTATCTTTTAGGTCTGTTAAGGCAATCACAAGTAATTTAGGTTCTGTTAAAACCAGTGACTTTTCTGTTAGACAACGTTAGGCCTTCCTAAGGCATTTCAACGTAGGTTCGATTACTTTAAAGTATTATACAGAACTGGAAACTCCTGTTAAGTATTTTATGGCATGTTACACCTCTGTTAAGTAAGTTTTGGGTATGTAAAGGTCACTGTTAAGGTTCTTTTGGTACTGTTGAGCCAATTGAAGGAATTTACGCTCTGTTATAACCTGTGAGGTTCCCGTTAGCAATAAAATACCTCTGTTAGATATCTTTCAGGTAATTTAAGCCAATTATAAGGAATTTAGGTTCTAGTAAAACCGGTGAGTTTCCTGTGAGACCTCGTTAGGCCTTCTTAAGGTACTTCAAAGTAGGTTAGCCAACTTTAAAGTATTCTAGAGTACCGAAACCTCCTGTAAAGGATTTTATGGCATATTGGACCTCTGTTACGGCAGTTTTGGGTATGTAAAGGCTAACAGTGGTTCTTTTGGAACTGTTGAGCCAATTAAAAGCTATTTACGCTCTGTTATAACCTGCGATAATCCTATTAGACATTTTAAGGCTATGTTAAGGTATTTCACAGCACTTTTGGCCCTTTTAAAGAACTCTTTTGTACAGACTAACTCTGTTAATAATTTGTATAGCATGTTAGTCTTCTGTTAAGGTAGGTTTTGGTATGCAAGGACTCTGCAAAGACGTATAAAGCTGTTTCTTGTGGTAAAATGTATTTTCAAAATGTACTTTAGGATAGGAAATATCCTGGTAAGGTATTTTAATATGTAGAGTGCCATTGATATTGCTATAGTTGCCTTCTAGGTTATAAAAGGCCTTCAATTCAAAATTGGTCATTTTCTACCCTAATTCTTCATTTTTGGGACTCGTTATCAAAGAAGAAAATGATCTCCATCAAATTTCACTATAGGTCTCTGAATTGACGGAAGCTCCAAATATGACCCCTATCTCGAAAAAATTCCATCCAATTAGGGAAAAATGAGAATTTTTCTTTCTCTTCCCTTCACTTCAAAAATGGACAATTTCTCCCCTAATTCTTCATTTTAGAGCTTCGTTATCAAAGGAGAAAATGTTCCCCATTACATTTGACTAAAGGTCTGCGAAATGACGGAACCTCCAGATATTACCGATATTACGAAAAAAAATCGCTTCCAATCAGAGGCAAATAAAAAAATTCTTTATTTTTCTTTCACTTCAAAAATGGACAATTTCTCCCCTAATTCTTTGTTTTTGAGCTTCGTTATCAAAGGAGAAAATGTTCCCCATTAAATTTCACTGTAGGTCTCCAACATGACTGAACCTCCTGATATGGCCAATATCACGAAAAAGTCCAATTTAATTAAGAACAACAGAAAATCATTTTTTTCTTTATTTCTCCTTCATTTCCTTCCCAATCTCTTAAAGACAATAATTTCAATAATAAAACATATCAGCGAAAAAGAATATCCTGCGGCCAAAATCAGGTGCTCCTGAAGTTCTGAGTAGACTATGTACAAACTTTTAAGGTCTGTTATTAGTATCAAGTCTCCGGAAATTTTATTAAAACTCATTCTTAAGGTATTTCTGTAAAGCCAATAGACTTTAAAAAGGCCCCCATTTCTTGCCTGCTCTGCCTCTGCAGGACTTTAAGCCTCATTATTTTCAATATTTTACGTTTTTTTTTTATAAAATTACATTAAATATTTATGAGACCTGACAAGAGTGTAAAATGCTCCATTAACAGAATGCAATTGTGAATGATATTTGAGATAATAGCCTTGTTATAGGGTTGTCAGAATCAAATGTAAACCAATTCAGAGTTAAATTAAATAACATTAAATTTGATAGCCTCAACATGGCTTCTCTATAATCTCTGCCCGGAAAATCTCTGGAGGATTTGAACATAAAAAATGAGGTACTTTAGTGCTGGTGGTTTTGGAAAATCGCATTTTAGTTTGAGGCAGGAAAATGAAGTTAACGTTAGTTTATTTTTTGATTTTCTTAAAAAATTCTCAAGCCGAGAGTCCTTTGGAGATAATTTCAAAATTTTATCAGGAATTTGATATCTACACCCTGCTGATATTTACCAATAATGGAACGCGGGAGCTTCTGCAAGATTTTCAGCAGCCTCAATTGGTAATAGCTGGTGAGGATGGAGGGAATGGTACATTCAAGGATCTGAGGCAAACCCAGGGCGAAAGGGTTTTGAGCTTTGTTAGCCTGGATGACATGGAGTTCAGTTATCTGGAGGAGGTATTCAAACCGGTATTGGTTAATTTGCATTTGGCCAATATTATTTTTTACACCAATGGAAATTGGTCAACGGAGGAGGAGGATGGAGGAGAAGAGCAATGGTTGTGGTTATTTGAGTGGTGTTGGCAGCAGGGATTTTGGCATGTCCTTTTGGCGAGTGGAGGTGCAGAAGTGGAAAATAAATATCTCAGCATGGATTCGATACCGCAAATGAAAATGAAATCAGTTTCCTTGGAGGAATATTTTGAAATGAAACGGAATCGAGTGGTGGATTTACAGGGTTACCCCATCAAGGTGGCGGTGGGCAACAATCCACCCAGGGTTACCGCCTTTTTCGATGAGGAGGAAAATTTACAGCTGGGCGGATTTTATGGCAACACCATTCTAATGTTCACCGAGGCCAATGCCACCTTGGAATATATTATCATGCCGAACATGTCTCAATATTCGATTTTAAGTTGCATCGAATCGATTGTAACCCAAACATTGGATATTTGTTCGGATGCCATACTCTTTGGCACGGGTGTTGAGACCACAAGGCCACAAATAATTGTCACCAGCCGCTTGGTGGTACCGTTCGATAGGCCATTGGAGAATTACAATTATTTCCGCATGCCATTTACCGAGGAGGTGTGGATCCTGATTGCCATCACCTTTGTGAGTACCCTGATTCTGCTGATGTTGGTGGAGTACAAGGAATATGGAGAGCTACGCATCATCAATAGCCTGTTTACCACGTTTCAGGGAATAATCTGTGCCGGCTTTAGTGTGGAGCACTTTTCCCTACCTTATCACTATGGCGTGGAATCCATACTTATTTTCAGTGGATTTATGCTGTCGAACTACTATTTGGCCATCCTGTCGGCCCTATTGCTTACCAAGATCTATAAACATGAAATCGATTCCATTGCCGATGTCATTAGTCATAATTTGACCATAGTGACCACGGGATTCCAGCAGTATGTCCTTGAAATAACCGATGCCCCTGCGGAGATCCGCCGCCAGACGGTGCTCTTTACCGAGGAGGAAGCTGTGGCCAATATGCGTGCCCTTAATCCGGAATATGTTTACTTTGGCATTGATGCCGAGGTGGATTTTTTACTTTACCAGCAGAAATTTCTCTTGAGGCCGAGAATGAAAAAACTGGGTCAGGAAGCTGTGACCACGGATATAGGAGAAATTCCCATGCGTTTCTATTGGCCTCTACATGACCACTTGATGTCCTTTATGGAGAATATGTTTTGCAGTGGCCTAATCATGTATCGTCAACTGGAAACTTTTGAGGAGGGTATTCGGCGAGGTGACATAGCATTCATACCCAACGAAGATTTGTCCGTAGAGCCATTGTCTTTGGAATATTTTGTAATGTGTGGCCTGATTTTGGCTGCAGGGTATTCTTTTTCGCTGATATGTTTTATTGTCGAGATAATTGTCTTTAAGAGGTTGGGAAGGAAGTGAAGGAGAAATAAAGAAAAAAAATTAATTTCTGTTGTCCTTAATTGATTTGAACTTTTTCGTGATATTGGTCATATCTGGAGGTTCCGTCATGTTGGAGACCTATAGTGAAATTTAATGGGGAACATTTTTTCCTTGGATAACGAAGCTCAAAAATGAAGAATTATGGGAGAAAATGGCCAATTTGGAATTGAAGGAACAATTTAGGAAAAAATCTCATTTGTTCCTAATTGGATTGGATTTTTTCATGGTATGGGTCATAGCTGGAGGTTCCGTCAGTTTGGGGACCTATAGTGGAATTTAATGAGGAACATTTTCCCCTTTGATAAAGAGATCCAAAAATAAAGAATTAATGGAGAAAGTGACCAATTTTGAAGTGAAGGAAAAATTAAAAAAAAAAAAATGAATTTACGCCTGATCTGAAGTTATTCTTTCCTGATATGGGCTATAGCTGGAGGTTCCGACATTTCGAAGACCTATAGTCAAATTTAGTGGGGAACATTTCCTCCTTTGATAAAAAGGCCCAAAAATGAAGATTTAGGGGAGAAATTGTCCATTTTTGAAGTGAAGGAAAGATAAAGAAAAATTCTCATATTCCCCTAATTGGATCGAATTTTTTCATGATAGGGGTCATATTTGGAGCTTCCGTCATTTCAGAGACCTATAGTGAAATTTGATGGAGATCAAATTCTCCAAAAATGGAGAATTAAGGGAGAAAATTACCAATTTGGAAGTGAAGGAAAAATTAAGAAAAAAAGAAATTGACCTCTAATTGGAAGGTACTTATTCCTGATATGGGTTATAGCTAGAGGTTCCGTCATTTCCAAGACCTATACTGAAATTTAATGGGGAACATTTTCTACTTTGAGAACGAGGTCCAAAAAGGAAGAAATAAGGGAGCAAATTTCCAATTTTGAAGTGAAAGAAAAATAAAGCAAAAAATTATTTTGATCCCTAATTGGATGGGTATTCTTTCCTGATATGGGTCATATCTGGAGGTTCCATCATGTTGGAGACCTATAGTGAAATTTTATGGGGAACATTTTAGCCTTCGATAACGGGGACCACAAACAAAGAATTAGGGGAGAAAGTGGCCATTTTTGAAGTGAAGGAATGATAAAGGAAATTTTTAATTTTTACCTAATTGAACGGAATTTTTTCGTGATAGGGGTCATATTTGGAGCTTCTGTCATTTCGGAGACCTATAGTGAAATTTGATGGAGATCATTTTCTTTTTTGATAGCGAGACCCAAAAATGAAGAATTAAGGGAGAAAATTACCAATTTGGGAGTGAAGGAAAAATTAAGAAAAAAAAGAAATTGACCTCTAATTGGAAGGTACTTTTTCCTGATATGGGTTATAGCTAGAGGTTCCGTCATTTCCAAGACCTATACTGAAATTTAATAGGGAACATTTTCTACTTTGAGAACGAGGCCCAAAAAGGAAGAAATAAGGGAGCAAATTTCCAATTTTGAAGTGAAAGAAAAATAAAGCAAACAATTATTTTGACCCCTTATTGGAAGGTATTCTTTTCTGATATGGGTCATATTTGGAGCTTCCGTCATTTCAGAGACCTATAGTGAAATTTGATGGAGATCATTTTCTTCTTTGATAGCGAGACCCAAAAATGAAGAATTAAGGGAGAAATTGGCCATTTTTGAAATGAAGGAATGATAAAGAACAATTCTAATTTTTCTCTAATTGGACGGACGGAATTTTTCATGATAAGGGTCATATCTGGAGATTCTGTCATTTTGGAGGCTTAAGGTGAATTTTTATGGGGAACATTTTTTTCTTTGATAACGAACCCTAAAAATGAGGAATAATGAAAGAAAATGGCCAATTTTGAATTGAAGGAAAAATAAAGAATTTTTTCATTTGCCTCTTATTGGAAGGGATTTTTTTCGTGAAATGGGTCATATTTGGAGGTTCCGTTATTTTGGAGACTTGTAGTGAAATTTTATGTGGAATATTTTCTTCTTTGATAACGAATCCCAAAAATGAAGAATTATAGGAGAAAGTGGCCAATATTGAATTAGAGAAAATAAAACGGATAACCGTTTTTTTTTCTTTTAAATAAAATTAATGCTTATATTTTCGTCATGTAGCTTTATATATATTGCTCGTAAAGATTTCTTGTGTTCCGCGATCCATAGTGAAATTTGATGTAGATCATTTTCTTCTTTGATAATGAGACCCACAAATAAAGATTTAAGGGAGAAAATGACCAATTCTGAAGTGAAGGAAAAATAAAAAAATGAATTTACCCCTAATTGGAAGGTACTTTTTCGTGATATGGGTCATACATGGAGGATCCGACATTTCTGAGACCTATAGTGAAATTTTATGGGGAAGCTTTTCTCCTTTGATCACAAAGCCCAATAATGAAGAATTAAGGGAAAGAATGGCAAATTTGGAAGTGAAGGTAAAATAAAAAAAACTCTCATTTGCCCCTAATTGAATAGGTATTTTTTCGTGATAGGGGTCATATATAGAGGTTACGACATTTCGAAGACCTATAGTGAAACTTTATGGGGAACACTTCCTCCTTTGATAAAAAAGCCCAAAAATTAAGAATTAAGGGAGATAATGATGATAATGATCAAATTGGAAAAATAAAAGAGTAAGTGGTTCATTTTGAAATGAAGACAAAATTCTTCGTGTTTGATCGTAGTCGAACGGAAGGCATAATTGAATTGTTTATTTGTATATTAAGGCTAATATTTGGTCTATATATATTTCTCCTACAGATTTCTTGTGTTCGGAGACCCATTGCGAAATTTGATGAGCAATAATTTCTCCTTCAGAAAAAACTCTCAAAAATTAGAATTTAAGGAAGAAAAATTCGACTTTTTCAAAGGCTGTCAAAATGACCCATATTTCGTATATGTGAACTAAGGTTAACATTTTAGCTTTATATATTAGACCCTCCGATTTATTTTATTTAGAGACCTATAGTGAAATCCAACGAGGAATAATTCTTGCCTTAGGATAAACCTTCAAAAATTGGAAATCAAAGAAGAAAAACTCGTTTTCTGGGAAGCAACCAAGAAATAACCATATGAATGGTATATGTGAATTATGGCCGATATTTTAGCTATATATGTTAGACCCACCGATTTCAGATATTCAGAGGCCCATAGTAAAATTTGATGGATAAAATTTTCTCCTTTGATAACGAGGCCCAAAAATGAAGAATTAAGGGAGAAAGCGCCCAGTTTTGAAATAGAGGATATAAAACGGATAACTGTTTTTTTTTTTCTTTTAAATAAAATTAATGCTTATATGTTGGTCCTGTAGCTTTATATATATTGCTCGTACAGATTTCTTGTGTTTCGCGATCTATAGTGAAATTTGATGAGGAAAAATTTTCCTTTTAGGATAATCTCTCAAAAATTAGAAATTAAGCAAGAAAATTCCCCTTTTCGAAAGACAGACAAAAATGAACATCTTTTCGTTTGTGTAAATTCGGAAGTGATAGTTCCGCAATATATATTGCCCCTATAGATTTTCTGTATTCAGAGTCCCATAATGAAATTTGATGAGGAATGCATTTTTCTTTAGGATGGATCCACAAAAATCAGAAATTAAGGAAGAAAATACCACATTTTGGATACCTCAGAAAAAATAAGGCTTAATAATTGAAAACGGTATGAATTTTCCTTTAAATCTATCAATTGTCTATTTTTTTTATTTATTTCTTTATTTCTTTATTTATAATTTCCTTTTAATTGACCATCGTCGATAAAATTCCAGCAAACTTTGTCTGGAATGTTTGGCAGGGTGTGAAAAGTCCAATTAAAATAAATATGTTTTTCTTTTCCTTTGCTGATTCTATAAATTTTGCAGCGGTGGCTCTATCATTTTTCCTCACTTAAGTGGTTAATTATTCAATCAACATCATTGACACTGACAACTTTATTAAGTCGCACACAAAAAGGCTTGTGCGAACATACATACATGTACATGTGACTGAAGGCAGGCGGGCAGGCAGCAGGATGCCGGGGGGGTCAGCTTAATAAATATGTGACCATGTAAATTAATATGTGACATGAGGAAAAAAAAAGCAAAAACGAATCACCACTTGGAACATGGTGGTCAAATGGGCACGCCGACTAGTGACAGCAAGGAGACAGTGGGACGGTAATGAGAATTTTTTAAAAATATTATTTTCGGGACCTATAATTAACCTGACTATTGGAATTATTTTTCTTCGTTAAAAAATATTTTTAAAAAACCTAGTGAAAAGTTGAAAAAATATTTTTAAAAAATCCACGTTTATTAATTGGAGTCCTTTGGAAAAATAATTTTTAAAAAATCTCCGTTTATTAATTGGAGTCCTTTGGAAAAATATTTTTTTAAAAAATCCTCGTTTATTAATTGGAGTCCCTTGGAAAAATATTCTTAAAAAATCCTTAGAGTCCTTTGGAAAAATAATTTTTAAAAAAATCCTCGTTTATTAATTGGAGTCCCTTGGAAAAATATTCTTAAAAAATCCTTAGAGTCCTTTGGAAAAATAATTTTTAAAAAATCCACGTTTATTAATTGGAGTCCTTTGGAAAAATAATTTTTAAAAAATCCACGTTTATTAATTGGAGTCCTTTCGAAAAATAATTTTTAAAAAATCCACGTTTATTAATTGGAGTCCTTTCGAAAAATAATTTTTAAAAAATCCAAGTTTATTAACTGGAGTCCTTTGGAAAACTATTTTTAAAAAAATCCACGTTTATTAATTGGAGTCCTTTGGAAAAATAATTTTTAAAAAATCCACGTTTATTAATTGGAGTCCTTTGGAAAAATAATTTTTAAAAAATCCACGTTTATTAATTGGAGTCCTTTCGAAAAATAATTTTTAAAAAATCCACGTTTATTAATTGGAGTCCTTTCGAAAAATAATTTTTAAAAAATCCAAGTTTATTAACTGGAGTCCTTTGGAAAACTATTTTTAAAAAAATCCACGTTTATTAATTGGAGTCCTTTGGAAAAATAATTTTTAAAAAATCCACGTTTATTAATTGGAGTCCTTTGGAAAAATAATTTTTAAAAAATCCACGTTTATTAATTGGAGTCCTTTGGAAAAATAATTTTTAAAAAATCCACGTTTATTAATTGGAGTCCTTTGGAAAAATAATTTTTAAAAAATCCACGTCCTTTGGAAAAATAATTTTTAAAAAATCCACGTTTATTAATTGGAGTCCTTTGGAAAAATAATTTTTAAAAAATCCACGTTTATTAATTGGAGTCCTTTGGAAAAATAATTTTTAAAAAATCCACGTTTATTAATTGGAGTCCTTTGGAAAAATAATTTTTAAAAAATCCACGTTTATTAATTGGAGTCCTTTGGAAAAATAATTTTTAAAAAATCCACGTTTATTAATTGGAGTCCTTTGGAAAAATAATTTTTAAAAAATCCACGTTTATTAATTGGAGTCCATTGGAAAAATAATTTTTAAAAAATCCACGTTTATTAATTGGAGTCCTTTGGAAAAATAATTTTTTAAAAATGACGTTCATTAGAGTCCCATGAAAAATTATTTTTTAAAAATCCAAGTTCATTAGAGTCCTTTGGAAAAATATTTCAAAAAAATCCACATTCAATAGAGTCCTTTGGAAAAATAATTTTAAGAAACCCAGTTACATTTGAGTTCTTTGGAAAAATATTTTAAAAAAATCCACGTTCATTAGGGTTCTGTGGAAAAATAATTTTTAACAAATCCGCGTTCATTAGGGTCCTTTGGAAAAATATTTTTAAAAAATCCACGTTCATTAGAGTCCATTGGAAAAATATTTTTAAAAAAATCCACGTTCATTAGTGTCTTTTGGAAAAATATTTGAAAAAATCCATGTGAATTACAGTCCTATGGAAAAATATTTTTAAAAAATCCACGTTCATTAGGGTCCTTTGGAAAATATTAAAAAAAATCCACGTTTATTAATTGGAGTCATTTGGAAAAATATTTTTAAAAAAATCCGCGTTTATTACTTCAATTAATTTTTTTAAAAAATCCAGTTTCATTTGAGTCCTTTAAAAAAATATTTAAAAAAAAATCAACGCTTTTTAGTTGGAGTCCTTTGGAAAAATATTAAAAAAAAATCCACGTTTATTAACTGGAGTCCTTTGGAAAAATATTTTTAAAAATACACTTTCAATAAGGTCTATTGAAAAAAAAAATATTTAAAAAAATTCACGTTCGTTGGTCTATAGAAAACATATTTTTAAAAATTCCACGTTCATTAGAATATTTTGAAAAAATATTTAAAAAAATCCACATTCATTAGTGTCCTTTGGAAAAATATTTTAAAAATCCATGTTCATTAGAGTCCTTTGGAAACATATTTTTAAAAAGTCCATGTTCATTAGAGTCCAATGAAAATGTATTTTTAAAAATCCACGTTCATTAGGGTCCTTTGGAAAAATATTTTTAAAAAATCCACGTTCATTAGGGTCCTTTGGAAAAATATTTTTAAAAAATCCACGTTCATTAGGGTCATTTGGAAAAAATATTTTTAAAAAAGTCTACGTTTATTAGAGACCATTTAAAAATATTTTTAAAAAATCCACGTTCATTAGGGTCCTTCGGAAAAATATTTTTAAAAAATCCACGTTTATTTGAGACCATTTAAAAATATTTTTAAAAAAATCCACGTTCATTAGAGATCATTTAAATTTTTTTTTTAAAAATCCACGTTCATCAGGGTCCTTGTGAAAAATATTTTTAAAAAATCCACGTTCATTAGGGTCCTTTGGAAAAATATTTTTAAAATTCCATGTTCATTAGAGTCCTTTGGAAGAATATTTTTAAAATTCCATGTTCATTAGAGTCGTTTGGAAGAATATTTTTAAAAAATCCATGTTAATTAGAGTCCTTTGGAAAAGTATTTTTAAAAAAATCCACGTTTATTAATTGAAGTCCTTTGGAAAAATATTTTTAAAAAAAAATCCACGTTTATTAATTGAAGTCCTTTGGAAAAATATTTTTAAAAAAATCCACGATTATTAATTGAAGTCCTTTGGAAAAATATTTTTAAAAAAATCCGCGTTTATTACTTCAATTAATTTTTTTAAAAAATCCAGTTTCATTTGAGTCCTTTAAAAAAATATTTAAAAAAAAATCAACGCTTTTTAGTTGGAGTCCTTTGGAAAAATATTAAAAAAAAATCCACGTTTATTAACTGGAGTCCTTTGGAAAAATATTTTTAAAAATACACTTTCAATAAGGTCTATTGAAAAAAAAAATATTTAAAAAAATTCACGTTCGTTGGTCTATAGAAAACATATTTTTAAAAATTCCACGTTCATTAGAATATTTTGAAAAAATATTTAAAAAAATCCACATTCATTAGTGTCCTTTGGAAAAATATTTTAAAAATCCATGTTCATTAGAGTCCTTTGGAAACATATTTTTAAAAAGTCCATGTTCATTAGAGTCCAATGAAAATGTATTTTTAAAAATCCACGTTCATTAGGGTCCTTTGGAAAAATATTTTTAAAAAATCCACGTTCATTAGGGTCCTTTGCAAAAATATTTTTAGAAAAATCCACGTTTATTAATGAAGTCCTTTGGAAAAATATTTAAAAAAAAATCCACGTTTATTAATTGAAGTCCTTTGGAAAAATATTTTTAAAAAAATCCACGTTTATTAATTGAAGTCCTTTGGTAAAATATTTTTAAAAAATACTCCATTTAAAAATATATTTAAAAAATCCACGTTCATTAGAGTATTTTGAAAAAATATTTTAAAAAAATCCACGTTCATTAGAGTCCTTTGGAAAAATCTTTTTAAAAAACCCATGTGCATTAAAGTCCTTTGGAAGAATATTTTTAAAAAATCAATGTTAATTAGAGTCCTTTGGAAAAATATTTTTAAAAAATCCACGTTCATTAGGGTCCTTTGGAAAAATATTTTTTTAAATTCTATGTTCATTAGAGACCATTTAAAAATATTTTTAAAAAATCCACGTTCATTAGAGTATTTTGAAAAAATATTTTAAAAAAATCCACGTTCATTAGAGTCCTTTGGAAAAATCTTTTTAAAAAACCCATGTGCATTAAAGTCCTTTGGAAGAATATTTTTAAAAAATCAATGTTAATTAGAGTCCTTTGGAAAAATATTTTTAAAAAATCCACGTTCATTAGGGTCCTTTGGAAAAATATTTTTTTAAATTCTATGTTCATTAGAGACCATTTAAAAATATTTTTAAAAAATCCACGTTCATTAGAGTCTAAAAAATCTTAAAAGTCCATAATTATTGAAAATTATTGGAAAAATATTTTATTTTAAAAATTAAATATTTTTTATATCTTTTAATATTTTAAAAATAATATATTTTTTAAATTTACAAAAAAAAATTAAAAAAAACCAGGCTTGTGAGAAATCTTTCAACAATATTTTTTTTTAAAAAGCCCACGTTTAAAAGAGATCTTTACATTTTTTTAATAATCCATTTTTTCGATGGCTCTTTAAAAATATTTAACCGCTTCCATTCCACTGTGTGTGTCCCTGGAACAAATGTGTCGAAATTCTTAGAAACATTACCCTGATTACCCTGTGTGATATGATGACGTCAAAAAAATCATAGAAAAAAAAACGAACTGCTCCCAATATCGCATTAGAATTCAAAATCAGACCACTTTCCTGGGAAATTAGCACAGCCATCAATACTTATTGTGTAATTTTTCTTGATAATTGATTTGTTCGAACATAATTCACAGGGCTAAAGACTCGACCACAAAACCACCAACCAATCGACCAACCAGCCAGCCCATGTAAATGAGGCATAGTTTTGGCGTATCAATTCACGCTCTCACTCAGTGATTCATTCATATGTTCTACGTGCCTTTTGCGACATGTGAACCACAAGGCAATGGAGAAAAGAAGAAGAAGACGAAGTACCAGTCTTTTTTTTTTCTTTTTCTGCGAACCAGTTGAAAAACTACTCAAGAAGTTAAGCATTGATTTAATATTTCCTGCAAATGCCTACTTCTCATTCAGACAGACAGACACACAGACAGACATGCATACATGACATTCCCACATGTTTTTGTCGATTGCATGTTCGTTGTTGTTGGTTTTGGCTGTTCTTGGCTAAAGGTAGCCTTCCGTCGCCCAGCTGCTACACTTGATATCCCCCTGTTTTGAAAATTTTAGAAAGTCAAAGAAGTGATTTCCTTCTTCTGTTGTTCCAGGAAAAAAAAAATCCATCATTTTCTGTTGCCCCCTCTGCCCCACATGCTCTAGCGTAAGAGAGGAAGTATTAATAATGATTGAAGAAGAAGAAGATATTTATTGAACGGCAAAAGAATCCAGTTAACGAATGAAAGCAAGGAAATGGAATGGTAATAGAGTGAAGATCTTCAAGGCAGATTAAGATTAGAACCGTACAAAAAGTACCAGAAGGTACCACACATGGTACCTATAGTATTCGACGAACCAGTAGAGCAGAAATTGGAATGAGGGTCACTGATGGAGTGTACGGACGAGGGTCACTCTTGATCCGAAGGTGTCAGATAAGGCTGGGTTTTTGGAAATTCGTAGTAGAAGGGTACGAAAAGTACAAAATGGGTACTAAATACGGTACCCTTTGTATTTGACGAACCAGTAGAGCAGCTAGAACTCTTTTGGAGAACTTTCGAATGAGGGTCACTGATGGAGTGTACGGGAGAGGGTCATTCTTGATCCGAAGGTGTCAGATAAGGCTCGATTTTTGGAAATTCGTTGTAGGACGGTACGAAAAGTACTAAAAGGGTACTAAAAACGGTACCCTTTGTATTTCACGAACCAGTAGAGCAGCTAGAACTCTTTTGGAGAAATTTCGAATGAGGGTCACTGATGGCGGGTCTACGGAAGAGGGTCACTCTTGATCTGAAGTTGTCAGATAAGGCTGGGTTTTTGGAAATTCGTAGTAGAAGGGCACGAAAAGTACTAAAAGGTACTAAATACGGTACCCTTTGTATTTGACAAAACAGTAGAGCAGCTAGAACTCTTTTGGAGAAATTTCGAATGAGGGTCACTGATGGAGTGTACGGAAGAGGGTCACTCTTGATCCGAAGGAGTCAGATAAGGCTGGTTTTTGAAAATTTGTAGTAGAAGGGTACAAAAAGTACCAGAAGGTACTACACATGGTACCCTTTGTATTCGACGGACCAGTAGAGCAGCTAGAACTCTTTTGGAGAACTTTCGAATGAGATAAGGTTGGGTTTTTGGAAATTCGTCTTAGAACGGTACAAAAAGTACTAAAAGGTACTAAATACGGTACCCTATAGTATTTGACGAATCAGTAGAGCAGCTAGAACTCTTTTGGAGAAATTTTGAATGAGGGTCACTGATGGAGTGTACGGGAGAGGGTCACTCTTGGTTCGAAGGTGTCAGATAAGGCTGGGTTTTTGGAAATTCGTACTAGAACGGTACGAAAGGAACTACAAGGTATTAAATACGGTACTCTTTGTATTTAACGAACCAGTAGAGCAGCTAGAACCCTTAAATTTGGAATGAGGGTTACTGATGGAGTGTACGATGGATGTACCAAAGGGGTTTTGGAAATTCGCACCTTAAGTGTGCGAAAAGTACTAAAATGTACAACTTTTGGTATCATTTCGTATTATGTGAATTATTAGAGGTAAAAATTTAAAATTTGGAATGGGAATAAAGGTTCCAGTGAGAGTAGGACTGAAGAAAGGAGGCAGTTTTCGAAATTACAGAATGCACATATTTTCTTAGCTCGAACTTACCTTTTATAAGATTTTTTGTTAGTAGTTTCGTTGTGGTTCCAGGATGAAATCTGTAAGGCAAAGAATAAAAGGAATTATTAAAAATTTATTGAGTTTTTTTTTAATAATTTTTTTGGGAACCGTAAATAAATCCAATTTTTCCAAACATTTTTTTTTTCAAAATCTTTACTTTTTTTCTCAACGACCTATAAAAAAATGTACATTTTTAAAAAATATATTTTGTCAACGTCCTATACCAAACGGGAGCTTCTTAAAAATATTTTTTCAAAGATCAGAAACAAACGCGATTTTTTTAACGAAATTTTATTTTTTTATTGTAATTTCGAACCCACCCATCCCCCTTCCTCTATAATTATTTCTGTGGTTTACAAATCATTGCAACCACATTTGCAACAATTTAACGGTGGCAATTTGTGGCAAGTAGCCACAAATTACACCCAGCCAGTCAGTCTCATTAACATACTCTTGTGGTTTGGGTGGGGAGAACGAGCGAGGAAGAGCCTCAGTAAGGTAACAGTGGCAACAACAAAGAAATAGAATACCAAAACAATAATAAATTCCAAAAGATAATGGTAGGTGAGGAATGTACCAGAAGAAGAAACAAAGCAACGGAAAAGCAGGGTTGCCATATTTTGGAAACCGTTTGCGAATTGGGATTTGGAGAATTTTTTCTTTAAAAATATGTAAAGAGAGAGCAAAGAGTTTCTTATAAAAAAAAAAATAAAAAAAAGTAAAAAAGCTGTAAGATCGGCAGGGCTGAACTTTGAATACCCTGCATCATTTGGTACAAATTTGGCAATTTTCAAAAAATTAAAATTCATTAAAAATTCTGTTAAAATCTTAAAATCACCGAATGTAGCCGTATATTAGGGCCTATACGAAGACGTGGACCTTCACAGACAATCTTAGGCTGTAGTATCCATTACGAACTTCAAATACAAAAATTTGAAATAATTCCGTAAATAATGTCGCTAAAATCATCAAAATACCGAATATCGGGGGGAACCGTTATATGGTGGTCATACGAAGACGTGGCCCTGCACAGACAATTTTCTGTCATAGGCTGTAGTATTTATTACGAACTTCAAATATTAAATTTGAAAAAGTTCCGACAAATAATGTCGCTAAAATCATTAAAATACCGAATATCGGGAGGTACCGTTATATGGAGGCTATACGAAGACGTGAAGCTGCAGAGACAATTTTCTGTCATAGGCTGTAGTATCCATTACGAATTTAAAATGCGAAATTTGAAACAATTCCGGTGAATAATGTGGCTAAAATCATCAAAATACCGAATATCGGGAGGTACCGAATATGGGGGCTATACGAAGACGTAGACCTGCAGAGACAATTTTCTGTCATAGGCTGCAGTACCCATTACGAACTTCGAATACCAAATTTGAAACAATTCCGGTGAATAATGTGGCTAAAATCATCAAAATACCGAATATCGGGAGGTACCGAATATGGGGGCTATACGAAGACGTAGACCTGCACATACAATTTTCTGTCATAGGCTGTACTATCCATTACGAACCTCAAATACCAAATTTGAAACAATTCCAATGAATAATGTCGCCAAAAACATCAAAATACCGATTATCGGGAGGTACCGTTATATGGGGGCTATACCAAAACGAGGACCTACATGGCCCATTTTCAATACCAAAAGTCCTGCAGACATAATACACATTTGAGTAAATTTTTATCAATTTATTGTCCGTCTATCCGTCTGTGGAAATCACTCTAGTTTCCGAACCCATATAATGCTACCTACCTTTTTTCGGCATTTTGGTAATTTAAGCGACATTATTCACCGGAAATTTGATATTTGAAGTTCGTAACGGATACTACAGCCTATGACAGAAAATTGTCTGTACAGGTCCACGTCTTCGTATAGTTCCCATATTACGGTACCTTCCGATATTCGGTATTTTAATGATTTTAGCGACATTATTTGCCGAAATTGTTTCAAATTTTGTATTTGAAGTTCGTAACGGATACTACAGCCTAAGATTGTCTGTGAAGGTCCACGTCTTCGTATAGACCCTAATATACGGCTACATTCGGTATTTTTAAGATTTTCACAGAACTTTTAACGGATTTTATTTTTTTTAAATTGCCAAATTTGTACCAAATGGTGGAAGGTATTCAAAGTTCGACCCGACCGAACTTCTTAGCGTTTTTACTTGTTTAAATTACTTTGCCGATCTTCAGTTTTTAGCCCTACTTTCAAAATCTACTGGAATTAACCTGTAATTATTAAAAATTTGAGTTTGTACTCCAAAACCTCATGGCAACAATTTAAAAAAAAAAATCTTAGGTCTTAGCTTAGGATTAGCATGTACGGATCCTTTAGTATTAGTATGTGTCTGCCAGTGGGAAATGAAGAGAATGCATAGCATGCATGTTATGATGCCAACTAGACTTTTCAATAAAATTTTCAATACTGGAATGTTTTTTTTTTTTTGTTTTTTTTGTAACTGACCGGGAGGAGTCATTTTTTTTTCCTCATCCCAGAGCAATCTTGCCGTTTTCAATACCGGTATTTTGTGATTAAACTGTACGGAAGGGGGGAGGAGGGTTGGATTTTGTGTTACCAAAAAAATGTTGATTACAAAGGAATTCCGAAACGATAATGGGTCCATAAAAATATTTGCAGAACAGAATTTATGTTTGGCTTTTGAAAGCAACAACCCACGCATTTTTTTCAAAACTTAAATATTTCCTTAAAGTTTTGTTGTCGTTGTTGTTGTTGTTTTTTTTTTCTGCTTCATGACAATTTTATTTATGAAGGCGAACAAAAATGCTTTCTTGACACTATCTTAAGTTTGGTTTTTACGATCTGTAGCCATCCAGCCAGTCACTCGACAGACACACACAACAGATCCCAGACAATTTCTGTTGTCATCACCAAAAAACACCAAAGCCCTTAAACCACCCATGGGAATTTTTGTGGTTTTTTTTTCAGTCCAGCATTGGAGTTCGCGGTGTTCTGCACCTTCTCCCCACTTCTTGAGGTTCATTCTGAAGTCTGGC